AAAAAAATGAAACTGATAATCTTTTATGGAGATATCCATTTTCCTGGAAAGACAAATAAGGCATTCCAATTGATACCGCTAGGAGGGGGAAAACCAAATTCCAAAGAATACAAAAAATTGAAAATTTGGCTCTATATCCAATGAATGAAACTTTCCAGGTATGAAAAAAAGTTTTTTTTTTTGGTTCAACCTGTAGTCCCATATAAAAAAACGGATGGTATAAATTTAGGAAGACTTTTCCCGCCGGATCTCTTGCAGGAAAGTGATAATCCACAACTTCGAGTTGTCAATTATATCCTTTATTACGACCCAATTCTTGAAATGTGGGACACAAGTATTCAATTAGTTCGGACTTCTTTAGTGTTGAATCGGGACCAAGACAAAAAAATCGAAAAGGCCTATGCGTCCTTTGTTGAAATAAGGACAAATGGTTTGCTTAGATATTTTCTAAGAATCGACTTAGCTAAGTCACCTATTTCTTATACCAGAAAAAGGAACGATCTGTCGGGTTCAGGATTGATCTCTGAGAATGGATCAGATCGCACTAATAACAATCCATTTTCTTCCATTTATTCCTATTCCAAGTCAAGGATTAAAGAATCCCTTAATCCAAATCAAGGAACTATCCATACGTTGTTGAATCGAAATAAGGAATCTCAATCTGTGATAAATTTTTCATCATCCAATTATTTTTTGAATAAACCCATTCAACGATGTAAAATCTCCCAATGTGATAAAAGAATCAATCAAAAAGAACCCCCTAATTCCAATTAGGAATTCGTTGGGCCTGTTAGGAACAGGTTTTCCACTTTATAATTTTGATTTATTTTCCCATTTAATAACCCATAATCAGATCTTGGTAACTAACAATTTGCAACTTGACAATTTCAAAAGATTTTTCAAATACTTAAATATCATTTACCGGATGAAAATGGTCAGATTTATAATCCCTATTCATGCAGTAACATCATTTTGAATCCATTCCATTTGAATTGTTATTTTCTCCATTACAATTATTGTGAAGAGACATCTCCAATCGTCAGTCTTAGGCAGTTTATTTGTGAAAATGTATGTATAGCAAAAAAAGGAGCGCATTTAAAATCGGATCAAGTTCTAATTGTTCAAGTTGACTCTGTGGTAATACGAACAGCTAAGCCTTATTTGGCTACTCCAGGAGCAACTTTTCATGGACATTATGGGGAAATCCTTTATGAAGGCGATACATTAGTTACATTTATATATGAAAAATCAAGATCTGGTGATATAACGCAAGGTCTTATAAAAGTGGAACATGTGTTAGAAGTGCGTTCGATTGATTCAATATTGATGAATCTCGAAAAGAGGATTAAGGGTTGGAACAAATCTATAACAAGAATTCTTGGAATTCCTTGGGCATTCTTGATTGGTGCTGAACTAACTATAGTGTAAAGTCGTATCTCTTTGGTTAATAATGTCCAAAAGGTTTATCGCTCCCAGGGGGTGCAGATACATAATAGGCATATAGAAATTATTGTACGTCAAATAACATCAAAAGTTTTGGTTTCAAAAGATGAAATGTCTAATCTTTTTTCACCTGGAGAACTAATTTGATTGTTGCAAGCGGAACAAATTGGACGCGCTTTGGAAGAAGCGATCTGTTACCAAGCCGTCTTATTGGGAATAACAAGAGCATCTATGAATACTCAAAGTTTGATATCTGAAGCTAGTTTTCAAGAAACCGCTAGCATTTTAGCAAAAGCAGCTCTCCTGGGCCGTATCGATTGGTTGATAGGCCTAAAAGGAAACGTTGTTTTGGGGGGATGGCACCTATTGATAGCGGCTTCAAAACACCTTCAGGCGAACCTAACAACATTCCTAAGAACATTGCCTTTGAACTCCAAAAAAAAGAATCTATTAGAGGGGGAAATGAAAGATATTTTGTTCTACCACAAAAAATTATTTGATTCTTGCCTTTCAAATAATTTCCATGATACACAAGAACAATCATTTTTTTTAGGATTTAATGAGCTCTAAGAGCAGATTCACCCCTTTCTTTTATCTTTTATAAAGGATCTGTTGGTCTAGTCATTTGATTTGGTAATAGTAATAAAAAAAAATAACAAATAGAAAAGAATAATGGCTTGGGCTGTGTATCTATGCCAATCTATGGTATAAAAGAAAGTTCCATCAGAACAATTATTTATTTCAGGGTACCTCTTTTTTTTATAAGGGGGGCAGTGTGGGGAGAAATGACAAGAAGATATTGGAAGCAGGAGTTCATTTTGGCCATGGTACTAGGAAATGGAATCCTAAAATGGCACCTTATATCTCTACAAAACGTAAAGGTATTCATATTATAAATCTTACTAGAACTGTTCGTTTTTTATCAGAAGCTTGTGATTTGGTTTTTGATGCAGCAAGCAGAGGAAAACAATTCTTAATTGTTGGCACTAAAAATAAAGAAGCTGATTCAGTAGCATGGACTGGAATAAGGGCTCGGTGTCATTATGTTAATAAAAAATGGCTCGGTGGTATGTTAACCAATTGGTCCATTACAGAAACAAGACTTCATAAGTTTAGAGACTTGAGAACCGAACAAAAAATAGGGGGGCTCGACCGTCTTCCGAAAAGAGATGCGGTTATGTTGAAAAGACAATTATCTCATTTGCAAACATATCTGGGTAGGATTAAATATATGACAGGGTTACCGATATTGTAATCATCGTTGATCAGCAAGAAGAATATACGACCCTTCAAAAATGTATCACGTTGGGAATTCCAACAATTTGTTTAATCGATACAAATTGCGACCCCGATCTAGCAGATATTTCGATTCCAGCCAATGATGACGCTATATCTTCAATCCAATTAATTCTTAACAAATTAGTATTTTCAATTTGTGAAGCCGTTCTGGCTATATAAGAAATCTGTGATTAATAATAAGATAAATAACTTATTTCATTTCGGAACCTTCATAGATTTATCGAATCGGTTAGTATTTCTGAATCTTAAAAATAGAGATAAAATCAACAAGGAATAGAATTTGATTAGTTGGTATTCAAAATATATGATTCGACTAGTCAAGTCGAGAAAGAGATGGTTGAATCAATATAATTTTGTTTAAAATTCTATTTTTGTCATAGGGCAATATGAATGTTCTATCATGTTCCATCAACACACTAAATGGGTTATACGATATATACGGTTTGGAAGTAGGCCAACATTTTATTGGAAACTCGGGGGTTTCCAAGTCCACGACCAAGCACTTATTACTTCTTGGGTTGTAAGTGCTATCTTATTAGCTTCAGCCACTCTAGCCGTTTGGAACCCACAAACCATTCCCACCAGCGGTCAGAATTTCTTCGAATATGTCCTTGAATTTATTCGAGATGTGAGTAAAACTCAAATTGGAGAAGAATATGGTCCTTCGGTTCGTTTTATTGGAACTATGTTTCTATTTATTTTTCTTTCTAATTGGTCAGACGCCCTTTTACCTTGGAAAATCATACAATTACCGCATGGGGAGTTAGCCACCCCCACGAATGATATAAATACTATTGTTGCTTTGGCTTTACTCACATCAGTCGCATATTTCTATGGGGGTCTTAGCAAAAAAGGATTAGGTTATTTCGGTAAATATATTCAACCAACTCCAATTCTTTTACCTATTAACATCTTAGAAGATTTCACAAAGCCCCTGTCACTTAGTTTTCGACTTTTCGGAAATATATTAGCCGATGAATTAGTAGTTGTTGTTCTTGTTTCTTTAGTACCTTCAGTGGTTCCTATCCCTTTCATGTTCCTTAGATTATTTACAAGTGGTATTCAAGCTCTTATTTTTGCAACTTTAGCTGCGACTTATATAGGTGAATCCATGGAGGGCCACCATTGACTAGTTTTCTGAATAGTCTTTTTTTAGTTTAACCTAAGACAATGTTGTGTGGCTAAAAAAATTGACTTAGGGAATGAAAATACCCAACTACATTATATATGATCTAGAGTAATAGAAAAAAAGATTACAATAAAGATTACAATATTGATATTAGAGTAGAGAATTAAAAAAAAGGAAAGAGATCTCAAAGATCTTTTTCCTAAAATTCCCGTTTGGTGCATTTATATCATAATCATACTTTCCCCTCAATGAATATTGAGTTTAGATTGGTCATCGAATCCGAATATCAACTATTTGGAGTCGTAATTTGACGAAGAAGTCTTGTACGATGTGTGATTAAATAAAAAAAAGGATGTTCTAGAGAACGATTCCCCCTTTTCAGTTCATTTTATTCAACGATTGACGAAACAAAAATATTAATAAATAATAAATTGTACGAACTTAGATCAATCAAATCAATTTCTATGCAATGATTCGGCCCAATCAATTTATCCATTTATTATGTTATCAATTTAGGTTGCGTGATAATGATAAAGAAAGGGAAAGGATAATTTCTAAAAAAGGGGATTTATAAATGGTTCGTAGAGGCGAGGTCGAACTATGTATATGGAATTGAATGGCTATAAGTTAACTGTTGTCAAGGGTTAGACGTATCCTTATAAAATCAGCTTGAATTAAAGATTAGGGAAGAGTTGGTTTACATTGTGGAAGAAAGACATGTATATGTGATATTAGATATTGACTAGTTATATATGAGCTAAATATATATCTAATTTTCCCTACTAATCGAATGTGAATGTAGATGGGGATTCTATATAAGTCCTTCTGTCTCATCTGTGACTGTGAGTTCAATGAATAAACGGATGAAGTTAATAAAAAAATCGAAGAATTCAAAGAGCGTTTCGGGACAAAGAAACGGAAAAACTAAAGTTGTATGGATTCACAAAGACTTTCTCAAGAGAAACTAAAAAAGAGATATCAAAGTCGTTTTGATGATTCAAGAATGTTATTACTTAAATTCAAAGTTCGTAGTTACTTCGACTGTATGAATCATAGCAATGGAATCATTAAGTCATAGTTCATTGGTTGAATGTATCATTAACAATTTTTTTGGTACGAGGAACTTATCATGAATCCACTGATTTCTGCCGCTTCTGTTCTTGCTGCTGGATTGGCTGTAGGGCTTGCTTTTATTGGACCTGGAGTTGGTCAAGGTACTGCTGCGGGTTAAGCTATAAAAGGTATCGCGAGACAGCCCGAGGCGGAGGGAAAAGTACGAGGTACTATATTGCATAGTCTAGCATTTACGGAAGCTTTAACCATTTATGGCCTGGTTGTAGCATTAACACTTTTATTTTTGAATCCTTTTGTTTAATATTCGAAATATGAAAAATCAAAATTTTTCATATTTTATTGCCTTGGACTTATGCTTTGCTTTTTCGAATTAAATAAAGATTTCATTCCTAGAATCACTTATTCGTTGAGAAAATAACCCACGGGAAGGGTCGATTTGTGGATGAGGAATTAGCATACCAACTCGCTTTCATCCTTCCCATTCGTGTTCGTAGGCCTTTTTTTAGTTTTTAAGAGGGGTCGCAACCAAGGAGGTAATTCATTATTTCTAAATCGAATAAAAAATCTATTCTATTTAGAAAGTAGGAAACTAGCAATATCAATATATATATATATATATATATATATATATATATATATATATATATATATATATAATATATATATATATATATATATATATATATATAAAGAGGGCAAAGTAATACAAAAAGAACTCTGTTCGATTTTTTAGTCTATCTATACGAGGAGATCATATGAAAAATGTAACCGATTCTTTCTAAGTGTAGTGCTTGGGGTCTTGATCTTTTTTGGAAAGGGAGTGTGTGCGAGTTGTTTATTTCAAGAATAGGTTGGATCCAACCAAATGTAATTTTTCTATTATAACTAGGAAAGTTATACCTAATAAAGAAGGGTGCATGATCTTGCGAATTACTTCTGAATAAATTCAGAAATCGTATGTAAGAACTATATCATTTCGTAATTTATTGGAAATCCACTTTGATTCTCTATCACCAATAATGTGGGACCGTTCACATGGTTAAAGCTAAACTGTTTGAAGTCCAGACGCAGCATGGTACTCTTTCGACCACTATGTTAATGTTAATATAGAGATGGTTTCAAAATAAAGATTTTATCAATATAGAACACTCATATCGATAAAATGATTTGAACTACTTAATTGGGGATTTTATCCCCTTTTTTATCCAATGCTGAATCGATGACCTATGTATTGTGTATAAAGTAAGAAAAACTTCTTGGATTAAAAAAAAGTAAACAACTTTGCTGACAATTACATATTTTTTGTTTGGTCAGAAGAGTCCTCCGAATATTTTGATCTTGGATTAGTGATTCCTTTTGATATTTTGATTTCATTTTGGAATATGACAATAGAAAAGATGATAGGCTCATTACATTAACAATAAAGATATGGGAATTTATATTGAGCTTGAGAGCCAAATGAATCGAAATATTCATGTTTGGTTCGGGAAGGGATCATGGAATTTTTGAAATGAATGGAAAGATAATCTAGTTTCATTAAGTGATTTATTAGATAATAGAAAACATAGAATCTTGAATACTATTATAAATTCAGAAGAATTGCGCGAGGGGGCCATCGAACAGCTGGAAAAAGCCCGAGCTCGCTTACGGAAAGTAGAAATAGAAGCAGATCAGGTTCGCGTGAATGGATACTCTAAGATAGAGCAAGAAAAATTGAATTTTATTGATTCAACTTATAAGACCTTGGAACAACTAGAAAACTAAAAAAATGAAACTATAAATTTTGAACAACAAAAAGCGAGTAATCAAGTCCGATAACGGGTTTTCCAACAAGCCTTACAAGGAGCTCTAGGAACTCTGAATAGTTGTTTAAATAGCGAGTTACATTTACGTACTATCAGTGCCAGTATTGGAATATTGGGGTCGATGAAAGAAATAACAGATTAGTCCTTCTACTTTAGGCATTATTTTTGATTTATTTATTTTTCCAAAAAAGAATTAAGAAATACTCATGGTAACCATTCAAGCCGACGAAATTAGTAATATTATCTGTGACTGTATTGAGCAATATAATAGAGAAGTAAAGATTGGAAATACCGGTACCATACTTCAAGTAGGTGATGGCATTGCTTGTATTCATGGTCTTGATGAAGTAATGGCAGGTGAATTAGTAGAATTTGAAGAGGGTACAATATGCATTGCTCTTAATGTGGAATCAACTAATGTTGGTGTTGTATTAATGGGTGATGGTTTGCTAATACAAGAAGGGAGTTCTGTAAAAGCAACAAGAAGAATTGCTCAAATACCAGTGAGTGAGGCCTATTTGGGTCGTGTTATAAACGCGCTGGCTAAACCTATTGATGGTAGATGTGAAATTTCATCTTCTGAATATAGGTTGATCGAATCGCCCGGTCTAGGCATTATTTCTTGACGTTCTGTATATGAGCCTCTTCAAACAGGGCTTATTGATATTGATTCAGTGATTCTGATAGGACATGGTCAGCGAGAATTAATTATTGGGGACAGCCAGACCGGTAAAACAACAGTAGCAACAG